CTCTGCCTCATCCCCGCCTCGTTTGCGTCCAACTTTTTCTACGGCTACCAGTTCAACGCGGTGAACGCGCACATGTTTTCGCTCCGGACGCGCGGCCTCAACAACGCGCTTTACTGGGGCATGCAGATGTTTGGCGCCTACGCCTTTGGCAACTACGTCATGGACAAGCCGAGCATGACGCGGGCTAAGCGCGCGCAGGTCGGTCTCGTCATCACAACGGTCATCGTCTTTGTCGTCTGGGCCCTCGGCGTTCTCGTGCAAAAGGACTTTTTGCGCGACGACCCCAAGCAGAACATTGATTTCCTCGAGAGCAGCCGCGCCGCGTTCCCCATGATCGTCTACCTTCTCTACGGTCTCGTTGACGCCATTTACCAAAACTACGTCTACTGGGTGATTGGCGCCATGTCCAACGACCCGATGGAGCTCGCGCGCTTTGTGGGTTTGTACAAGGCGTTCCAGAGCGCGGGCGGTGCGATTTCGTGGCGCATTGACGTGCTCGAAGTGTCGTACATGAACCAACTTATCATCAACTGGGTGCTCATGGCCATCTCGCTGCCCTTTATGTACTTGCTCGCGCGCAAGCTCTCCAACTAAAATCAAGTTAACTCCATTTTTTGATCGTGCAGCTTCGAACCGTGTCGAGTGTGTTTTTCAACAAGCATGCCAGGTGCATTTTTGTGCATGCCTACGATATGCTCGTAACTCGAGGCAAAACATCGCGTACTCGTTATCGCAAAGTGAATTCATCATCGACGCTAGTTTTTGGGGCATTACATCTTCCTAATGCAATAACATGGTGCCCTGAAACTACAACATGGGCGGATGTCGATAAAGATGACCAGTATATTACATGTGTTCGCACGCGATAGCCTACACGACGACCGAGTTGAGGAACGTATCGCTGCCTTGGCCCGGGCGCGTCGCCGGCGCATCGCTACGAAGGGAAGGATGCGCCAAGGATCCACCATCATTGACCCTACCTTGTAGGTATAGCTCGGAACACCTCTTGCTCGTGCTCCTCGTCGATCGCAATCAAGTTGAGGTCACGCGTCGACCGCACGGCCGATTTTGGTGGTGCTGGCCGCGGGTTCGACCCCACGGTCTGATCCGTGCCTTGGCTCCACACGTTTTCGTCGCCGGACGACATGAAGCTCCAGCGGCCGCCCGACTTGGGGCCGTTCGAAGACGCAGTCGACATGAACGTGCCCCAAATGTTGGTGCGGCGGCCCTGCGAGTCGACCTTGGTTTGGCCCGACCAAATGTTGGACTCGAGGCCCGTCCCATTGCTTCGGACGTGGCTAGCGTCGGTACCGTTGCTGAGAAGGCCCCAAATGTTCTTCATGCTCTTGGGGTTGTTGGACTGAACCCAGATATTCCGCGCGCCGTTCTCGGCCTGCGTCGCGTCGTCCCAGATATTGCGCACGGACTGCGGGTCCTCGGGCACATCGAGGAACGTCTCGCCGCCCACCGTGCCGTTGTTGGAGTACGCGTTCGTCGAGTACGACTTGTTGGTGGAGTTGCTGTTTGCATTCGACCGGAGCATCGGAAACGACGAGTGCGTGCTGCTCTGCCTACGCTCAAGATATAACGAAGCAGCAACAATGAGCGCAATACACACGGCAAGAGCGACGGCGGCGGGTTCTCACTCAAAAACGACAAGCTGCTGTCGTCCGGGTAGTTGCCGTTGGTGTTGGTGGATGGCGGCGGGGGCGCTAGTGGTTGCTGACGGCGCCGCCCTGGACCTGGCTCGTGTGCGGACGTCGATTGGAAGCAGCCCATGCCCAAAGCAAGTACGAAATGCAAGCTCTCCACAACGAAGCACGACTGGAGTGGAATTGTAGCCGACTTGTCGTATTCTCCAATCGGAGACCGGTGCTGTCTGTCTTCTGCTCTCTGCCTCCCCAGTCGCCCAGCTGGGAGGCATGTCGCTCTTCGCAGCTGATACAATCTGGCCACTCTGAATGCATCTGCTTTTCTACCAAAATTGATTGACAGTTACAGAACCACATCCGGCTGCCACGTCAGAACGCGAATTTTCCGACCTCGCGACACCCTTCTCGGCTCCATTGCCGCTGATTGCCGCTCTCCAAATCAGCAGTTGGTTAGCATTGTAAAGTCCAGGGGGATCTTGGAGAGCTCTTACGTTATAAAATAACGTCCTTGTTCGAAGGGGGCAGGTCGTCACGACTCAAGTTTCCTTTCGCCATTTTTAGTTGCATGGGATTATAGTTGTCATTATATGTAAAAGTACACGCGTCGTTTAACGCAGAAAGTGCTGGAACTCGGGGCTGTGGCTTGCAATCGGGTGCTCCGCGATCGCGTTGAGAATCGACTCGAACGATTGCTCGCGCTCCTGGACCATCGCCTTGTTCTGGCGCGTGAAGCGCGACATCATACCTACGCTGCCATGAGTATACCGACAGAACAACGCCAAGGAATAGAGTACCAGCGCGTGGCATGGGCGGAAGACCGCCACCACCATGGACGTCGTTGACAAGCATAACGTGGGCCATGTCGCTGTAAAGGACCTTGAAGTCATTGTAGCGCTTGTGGATGACACGACCGCTTGGGACTTGGACATTGTACATGACGATGCCGCCCTCGACGCTCGATCCGAGCGACTTGTAGTGCTTGGTGTTGCTGGACGGCGCCTTGCTGGACGGCGTCTTGCTCGTCGGTGCCTTGCTCAATGGTGCCTTGGGAACCACCGTGTTGTCCATATCGGTCGTCGTGGCGTCCGATGGCTGCGGGACCGGCTCGTCTTGCGGCGCGATTTCATCACCAATGTACTCGGACTCGTTCGCACTCTCCATCTTCTCGCTGGCTTCCTTGATCTGCTCGAGCTCGGCGACGATCTCGGCAAGGTCGTGCTGGACTTGAAGGAGCTGCTGTTCGGCGTCCATTTCGGCGTCAATGTCGACTTCCACGGTTTCCTTGGCTTGGACGCGCTCGACCGCGCTTTCGATGATCTCGTTGATGATGCCAGCGGCCACGTGGCGCGTGTGCACGGGCACTGTGCTCCCAATGAGGTCGTCGAGCACATACTCCTGACCAATGGTGCTGCGGGACATGGGTGGCACCACGTCCGAGGATTCGTCGGCTTCAGAAGCCTCCTTTTCCTCAACCTCTGGGACGAGAGCGGTCGACTCGGCGGCTGTCTCGATGACAGCCTCCGCCATCTCGACCTTCAAGTCGTCGGCGACAGCCGCTTCCACTTCGTCGGTCACGGCCGAAGCTTCGACGACATCTGTCGTCTCGTTGTCCGTCGCTTCCTCGACAGCGTCGATCTCGGATACTTCTTCGATAACCGTGTCCATGGCGTCACCGTCGTGCAGCGGCGCAATCATGATGACTTCCATCTCGACCTCGTCGATCACGACAATGTCGACGACTGGTGCCTCGATCTCGGCTTCGACGAGCGGTGCCTCCACGGGCACGTCTTCGTCGGCGTCCGTGGCTTCTTCTGTGACCGCAGACACAACGGCGCTTTCGTCAGCGACAATTGCCAAGTTGCTCGTTTCGTTTTGAGATGGCGATTCGTCGTCACAGCTGGCGTCGACCGAGACGGGTGCGCTGCGCGAGATCTCGACTTCGTGCACGAGAGCTTCCCACTTGTCGGCGACGTCATCGGCCAAGGCGTCCGCGATCGTAGTTAGTGCCGCGTCGTTCTCAGCGATGGCGACGTCGAGAACCGACGTGGGTGTAGCGACCGGCAAATAGTCTGCAACGACGACCGGGCCACTGAGGACTGGCGTCGCGGGGCCAACCGGCGTCTTGGGCATCGCCGCGTCTTCGGGAATCACTTGGCTTTTGACGCGCTGGACCGTGGCCGCCCACTTCTCGGCCGTGTCTTCTTGAAGCGCGTCTCCGATCGTCGAGAGCGATTTGTTGGTGAGATCAACGGCTGCGGCGGGCGGCGCCGGCTGCGGGTCGCGCACGGGCGTCGACTGCTGGCAGCCCATCGAAGGATTCGAGAAATGTCTAAAGGATCGGCGACACGTTCGCCGCGACAGGCTGCTACATTGCATCACTCATGGCTCGCTCACCATTGAGAGCGTGGCGCCTTCGTCGTTGAAGCGCATCGCATGGTGGTCAAACCATACATCGTACGTTGGCGCGTACATCCAACGCATATATACATTGAGTACAAGAGTACGTACAAGAGCGTACGAAATTTTGGCGGCTAGAGGAGGGACCCCACCTTCTCTCGCATCTGGCGCCGACGGCGAGATCATCGTCTCGGACGGTCATGAATATTTGGTCCATGTCCCCATGTCGCTGTAAAGGTGCTCGTTCTTGTCGTCCACGAAATCGTACCTCGTGCGTGCGAGCCAGTGCGTGCTTCTGTACACGATACAGTGTATCGCGCTCTCTGGCGCGCCAAAAACAAGCCGAGTAGCTCATTTCCGACTTTTCCGGCCAGCACCGATTCCAGTTTTCCGATGGGCTGCACGCAATCTGCCGACGTTGTCGAAGTGTCGGCGCCGACCTTTATGGACGAATGCACGCCGGCGTCCGGCTCCAAGAGCCTCAAGTACTCGCCGCCGACGTCGTCCGGATCCAAGAGCGCGTCGATCCTCGTCGAGCCGATCGTCGAGCCGCCGCCCGTGTACGTGATCGAGGAAGAAACAGTCTTTGAGAACGGTGCAATCCACTATGTGATCCTCGGCCCCCACGACCTCTTCCTCAAGAAGCGCTACAACGACTTCAAGGTGCTGCACGCGACGCTCACCGAGGCCGGCGCCGAGCTGCCCGATATGCCCGACGTGACGCTCTGGAGCGCACTCTCGCGCCACAACGGCCAACTCATTTCCGACCGCCGCGAGCGATTTCAGGCCATCTTGGACGCGGTCGCAGCAAAGCACCACGAGACGCCGGCGATGACGGCCTTTGCCGCTTAGTCCTTTTTTTCTATTTCTTAATTTTATGCCGCTATCGCTTATTTGTCACGCAAATCGACGACGAAACTGTGTATAGCGATCTTCCGACAAAGGAGGTTGTTGTCGATCAAACGACAAACCGGTCCCACTGTGCCCAGTGGCAGGCGCCAGGAATCGAAGCTCAGAGATACGTGCGGCCGTCGGCGGCGAAATATTGCCTACGGTAGCCCTCCATACTCGAGCGCTGTGTACCGCGCGGCTGGTTTCGGCGATGGTTCTTGGTTCTGGGAGACGCTCCAGCTTCTGGTCGGCCGCAGTTGCTGGATCGTTGGAGTGCCACCCGGCTTGCTCATAGTATTTCTTGCGGTTGAATCATTTAGTGTGCGGATTTGCTTTTAGTGTTGCTGCCATTGTGTCAAAGATTCGGGAAGATCCGATCGTTGGGATGTCAAGCGGCGGCGTGGCCATGCCCGCGCCGAGCTACCTTCAGGTCCGTCTGCCTTACCTGCGTCGATGGCTCATGACGCGATGCTAGCAGGACCTGCGCTCGCGCACGGACGCCGCCCTTCAGGTGCAGCGAACGTGGAGCCTTGGCCGCGTGGAGCCCATCACGGTTCACTTTGGCCCGGGCTTCCTTGGCCTTGGCTTCGGGCTCTCGACCGATGTGACCTACTCGGCGCGCATTCAAGACCTACCAACGCTGCCCGACGGGACGGCAGGCGCCGCAGCGCTTTACAATGCGTCGACGATCGAGGCGGCCAAGTACGAAGCATCTATCACCACGGCAACAAGACGCGATTCAAATGCGATATGCGTAGGCGATTAGTGCCGGGACTGCTTCTGACGCACATCAACGACGCCGACATGTCGAACCTCGCCTATGTCGACACGCTTGAACGGTGCGTGTCTTCTGGACGACGTGTGAAGATGCCATTGGAGCATAGCATTCAAGCGGTTGGCCGGCCCGTAAAGCTTCGCTTTGCCGCGCCAAAGCTCCGTGCGGCCGCGAGCGAGGTCGAAGTATCCCAAGACGGCAGCAATGCAGTCGCCCTCCGCGCGTTTGAAGCCGTGCAGCAGGGCCATTTTCTCGTACTCCTCGAGCTCTGGCCGGCCATCGACATGCAGTCGCGCCACCCGAGCGACATGCGGTCGCTCCTGCACGTTGCAGCACGCTACAAGAACGATGCGGTCGTTGCCTGGCTCCTCGAGCAGCCCCATGGTGCGGCTAGCATGCAGGCTTTGGTGGCAAAGGACGATGTGTGGGATACGTCGTAGGCGCTGACCTCGCGCGAGCCCGGAACGCCCAAGGCCGCTTGCCGCTTCACGATGCCATGTCGGGTGGCGTCCTCAGCATCTGCGAGCGCGTACATGTCCTTGTATTTTCTGTTGATCGCTGACGACAATGTGTCGTAGTTGCTCGCGACGTACCCGGACGCGCTCACGATCGGCGACGACCGAGGTCTATTTGCATCAACGAGCATCTGACAATATGGTGTAGGCGTCTTGTGCGTGCACCTGGCGGCAGGCAACGGACACGTGCATCTGTTCCCATGGTTTGCTCCGAAGCGCAAGAGGAGTCGGTCGTGGGATGTATACGTAGGCTGGTGCGTCACGACGCGCCCTTGCACAGCACGAGCGTGGACGGCAAGACAGCGCTGCACTACGCGTGCGCGCAAGGCCACCTCGAAGTGGTCATTTTCCTCCTCAAACACGGCGGCAGCGTCAGCGCCGTCGACATTCACCAGTGCAACTGCCTCCACTACACGGCGCTGCACGGCCACCTCGACCTCGCGCAGTGGCTCGTGTTCCAGACGCCGATCCCGCTCACACAGCGCAACGCCAAACGCCTTTTGCCCTGCGACATGGTGCTCACAAACCTCTTACGGCCCGTGTTTACGCATGCGTAGGTGCCTGCGGGCAACGACGAGCTCAAGGAGTTTCTCGAGCTCGTGAGCGCCGAGCCGTTGCCACCCTGCGGGCTGCACGCCGCCGACGTAGGTGCTGATGGAGTGGTACAATGTTCGGACGTGTCGGTTGTAGGTGCAGGCGACGCTGGTGCGCCTCGCGTGGTCCGTCGACGCCGTCCCCTTGGAGTTTCGGTACACGAGATTTTCATGCCGACGCAAGCCAAGTGCGGTAGGTGCACCGAGGTGGCGACGCTCGAGCTCGAGTATGGCCGCGCGTACATTGGTGGGTGGGAGCCCTACCCCGTGCGCTTGGATGCGACGGCCACGGTACCGCATTTGAATGGATGGACAGTGACGACGTTGATGCTAGAGCTGTGTCGTGCCAGAACTGCAGCCAAACACCGAGTACAGCTTTCGACTGCGGGCGTGGAACGAGAACGGGTCGTCCTCGTTTGTGAAAATAACAGCGCGAACTCTGCCAGCGACGTCGGCGGATTCGTTGACGGTCGTCCGTCTCGTCGGTGCCGAGGCCCGGCACTTGCCGCTCACACACGCCAGCCACCGGTTCTACATGACGCTGTGCGCCTCGCCAGGACATTGTGTGCGCAGTGGCTTTGGACGCCTCCAACCAGCGTTCGGCCACGACGTCGACGCCTACCGCCATCCGCAGTGGTCATTGTCGCTGCCCGTCGTCGTCTCAGAGGTACATTCGTTGCTTGCACAGGCGTCCTATCGCACATCTGGTGTAGCCAACCGAGCTGCGTGTTGCTGTCTACGGTGTGGCCGACGATGGACCGTACCTCGTGGGCCGCGCGACGGCGGCGCTGCAGCGAGAGATGCCGCGCAGTGTATGGCGCCGCCTCGACAACGACGCCAACGAAGGCACTGTGGCGCTGCTCTTTGACACGACAGACGACGCCGGAGACGCGGTCGACCAATACGGCTTTGTGGTGCCGCCAGTCCATGTACGGGCGTACCGGTACGCATCAGCGCTGGCCGACTGCACAGAGATCTACCGGCAAGCCGCGTGGGCGACGACCGCGAATGTGGATGGTCATGGAGCGTGGCATGACATCTCGCACGTCGATGACCCCACGGCGCTCGAGGCGTTGGCGTGGTCGGGTGTGCCCCGGGATCTGCGCCGACATGTCTACTTTATCGGAGGCCGTACTACGCTACGCCATCGGTTCTCATCCAATTAACGGATGCGATGGTAGGCGCGGCGACCATGCAAGCGGCCGCTGGCGCGGGCTACTACGCGCAGCTCGTCGCCGTTGACAAGAATACGATCCGAGACCACCACCTCATTGCCTCGGACGTCCAGCGGACGTTTGCAGATCAGCCAAGAATGCAGTCCGTGCGACCACGGCTCGAGCGACTCCTTCTCGCCTTTGTCGCGCATGCGCCGTCGTTGGGCTACTGCCAGGTGCGCTGTTTGGTTTGTATCAAGTTGAGAGTTGATGATGTAGAGCATGAATTACCTTGGCGCGCGGCTCTTGACGCTGTACGCGAACGAGTCGGAGGACGACGAGCGTGCGTTTTGGGTGTTTGCGTCGCTGTGCCATGAGAAGTTCCCCACGTACTAGCCTAGTCGATCGTTGCTGTCAACTTTATATTGCGAGTAGGTACTACAACGCCGGGCTGGACGGCCTCCACACGGACGGCGCGGTGCTGGAGCGGCTCTTGCGGTCGCGCCTCCCGCGGCTCAGCGCCCACTGCCGGTCGCTCAAGACGCCGATGCCTCTGCTCGCGGCCCAGTGGTTCCTCCCGCTATTTTGCCAGACGCTGCCAACCGAGACGACGTACCGACTCCTCGACGTCATCGTGCTGCAGCGGTCGACGACCGTCGTCTTTGCACTCGTCTTGGCCGTACGCCTCGTGGAGCTACATGTCATCACCATTCTTCGTAGCACCTCCGGCTCGCAGCGCCACGTCTCCTCGCGACGCACGACTATATGGACTTCACCGCCGAAGTCCGCCACGTTGAAGCCGGTACGCGAGTAACAATGTTGGCTCTGGTATTCACAATCTGTCGTAGGTCTCTACGACGTGGACCCGCTGCTCGAGATGGCAGCCAAAGAGCACTTTGGCCTCGGCGATGACGCCACGTTGCTGCGCGCGAGCGAGGGGTAGCGCTCCTCGATCTACTATAGTCGATATAACGTGGTCGGACTTGGTTTGCGCAAGAAGATTTCAACGCGTGAGTCGGACAGTAGTATAAACAGCGACGGGCCACGTCGATGTGACCTGGGGCACATCCTGCGTGTGGCACATCCATGCACGGTCAACCCCAGCGCGAAACCAGAATTGCCAGACGAGCAAACTCCAGAATGTGGCGAAACAAGGATATCAAAGAGCGTGGTGTCGGAGCGTCTACAGTGTAGAGGACGCAGTGCGCCGACTCGCTTGGCGATGGAAATTTGTCCGTCAATCTAGGTGGACACGAACCCCGTCATAGTACTTGCGCATCACATGTGCAACTCCTTACAAACAAGGCATGCAAGTACGTACTAGTCGAGTTGACTCAGAAATTGCATGTTCAGATGCACTTGTCACGCAGGCTGAGCGATTGCAACCAAGGAGTTGACCCACATGCTGTGGTGGCTTCCGCGTGTCCCATCCGGCAGTTGAGCAGTGGCAGTCACGAAGTAGCATGGCGGCGACCAAGCTCATCTCGACGCTGTACATCGTCTTGCTCCTCACGGCCTGCCTCCTGCTCGTGTACCTCGTCATCTTCTTCCAGCAGGGCTGGGAGGCTGTCTTCATCAACGACGTGCTACTCGTGCTGCTCTTCGCGCCGGCGCTGCTGCTGCTCACGCTCGTGAGCTTCACGTCGCTCCTTTTCACCAAGCACCCGATGGTCACGTCCATGCCGCTCTTTGCGAGCTGCGGGCTCTGGGCCATGCTCGTGCTGTTTGGCATCTCGGGCTCGCTGGACGCGTCGCGCACGATCCGCCACGCCAGCGCAGTCGAGGCCGCGCCGTCCCACGAGCTGCCGCTCAACAGCACGTTTGGCCACGTTGACATGCCACGCCAAGCGCGCTTCGACCACATCTTTTGCGACGCCCAAGGCCACAAAATCTGCGACGCCTTTTCGCTGACGACAACTATCGCGCTTCTCCAACCGCGGACGCCGTACTTTGGCAACCTCAGCACCGCCGACGTCATGGCCCTCTTCCCGAACGCCCCGACGCTTGAGGCCGTTTGCGCGAGCGGATTCGCGAGCGATGAGCTGCCGCTGCTGCCAGCGCTCTGCGGACGTTGCAGCGCACTGGACAAGGCGACCGCCAAGCTGGCAGACGTGCGCGACTGGCTGCGTGCGCAGTGCCCGCTGGAGGTCGGTGATGTTCGCGCGGTCTACTGCGCCGTGTACAGCGTACCTGGTGTGTGGAGTCGAAAACTCTACGAGGAGACGCCGCACCCGTTCCAAGGCGAGTGCTACGGCGCCAAGATGGCGGTGCTGCGTCGGGACCACGTCGAGGGCGTCGGCTACGTCGCGCTCTTTGCGCTCCTCGTGACATTGGAGCTTGTCTGGCTCAACCGAAGGGTTGTGCTGGACCTTGTCAAGCCGCCTCTCCACGACGAATCGCTGAGCCGCCCGTCGTGGTCCGAGATCTCGTGAGCATTGTCGTATTTTAGTAGCTTAGTCGTAGTGGAAGAATAGTCTAGTACAATACATTTATTGCTGTCGCACGCGAAAGACTTTCTTCCAGGTACGTGGAACGGGACTTCAACTCGATCGCAGCCTCATTGAGGTTTGGTTGAGAGCTTGTTCATTTGTGAGCGACCACTCTCGCAACTGGTGGTGGACAGGACAGCGTGGTGGACGTGTTTCTGACCGGGCGTGTGACACTCAGACGTGTCGAAGAGCTTTCGATGCTTCACAACAGTAGGATTACCAAAACCTGGTCTTGCTCAAAGTGCTCTTACGAGCCGATTTGCACTCATCGCATGAACTCCACGGCGACGAGCAGATGAAAGTACACGACACTATTGTGCAAAGTATCTGGATGCGTATAACGTGTGAGCTGTCTAATGCCCACTCTGCACTCATGTCGCTTGTCGCATATCCTGGTTCTTTGCCGTTGACCCCGCACAGTTGAAGTTGCTTGGGAGCGGCAGGATGGACGGAACAACCGCGACATGGATCACGGTGGCCGCCGGCGCCTTCGTGCTCTTCTGGCTCTTTGTCACGTGCTTTGCGATCTGGCGCGCCGCCAAGAACAGGGCGCAGCAGCCGCCGTGCTTGAGCCAAGCAGAGGCCGAGCTCCTCCGCAACGAGTACGCTGCCTACTTGCAATCATGGCTGACGCTCTGCACGTAATAGCCACCTCGGGAACCTCAACGGCATGCGGCGCGGCGACATGGAAGACCAGTGCGCAATGCGATTGCTTTAGCCATGGCTCACTGAGTCCCTAGCGGCGCCGAGACGTCCAAGTGGTGCTGTGGCATCTGTGGCTTCCACAACGCCGAAGAGAAGGAGGTTTGCGCGCTCTGCGAGACGTCGCGAGGTACTGCTTTCGACGGACGCAATGAAGAAGACCCAGACGACTCGTAGGCGTTGCGCTCGCATCGTCCGTCAACATGTCTGAGCGCACAATTACGATTGAGGTCGCCCAGCTCAACGCACTCCAGCACGCTGCGTGGTAGTACTATACGGATTCCAACTATCGGCTAAGATGGCTGCTTGTAGGACGCGCACGCTATGGGCGCGCAGCGTCCCAACCGAAGCGGCGCCGACGAGCGTCTGGGTCCGAGACCCTGCGTCCACGTCGTCGTCGCTGGTGGCAAATACGTTTTTCGCCTACGCGCCGCTGGACGGTGCGCTAATGCTGACGTCACTGACGTCGGGATCGACGCCGGCCACAACATCCATGGTGAGCGACCCGATTCCCGACTGGTGGGCTGTCGCGGTGGCTCCGCTCGTTGCGCTGCCCTTCTCGCTGAAATACGCGTGGATGCTGGAGCAAATCGATGCGTCGTATGCCGAGCGAAGCGGCTTTGTCGTTGCGCGAGACCAGCTCCTCGAGCAGTCGCTCGCCTTCTTGATGCAGTTACCAGTGGACGAGCTCTGTCGCCGTACGCGCGTCACGATGGCGGGCGAAGACGCGCTCGACGCTGGCGGCGTCCAGCGCGAGTGGTACACTGTCCTCTCACAAGCCATTCTGTCGTCGACCCTCTTTGTGGCGACACACGACAATGTGTACATGCCACACCCGAACGCCACGTCATCGGACGACTTGGACAAGCTGGAGGCCGTGGGGCGGCTGCTCGGGAAAGCCATCATCGACGGCCAGGTCCTGCCGATGCGCCTCTGCGTGCCGCTCTTCAAGGCGCTGCTCGGCACACCCGTCTCGATCCACGACGTCCGCTACGTGGACGAGACGACGTACAAGAGTCTCCGGTACATCGAGTCGTCGGACGATGTCGACGCCCTCGCTCTCGACTTTAGCGTGACATCGATCGACCATACTGTCGTCGATCTCATTCCCAACGGACGTACCGTCGAGGTCACTACGAGCAACAAAGACAAGTATGTGGACGCGATGGTGCGCCATTTGCTCTGTGGTCGGTGGTCGCAGCAAATCGGACGCCTCGTCCGAGGCGTTTACACGGTGCTACCCCACGAGCTTTTGTCGGTTTTCGACTACAAGGAGCTGGAGCTCGTGCTCTGCGGCACGCCCGGCATTGACCTCGACGACTGGCGCGCCCACACGATCGTGTCGCGCTCGCTGCAGTGCTCGACAACTCTCGCGTGGTTCTGGGACGTTGTCGAGTTTGACATGAGTGCGGCCGACCGCGCCAAGCTGTTGCACTTTACAACCGGCTCGTCACGCGTGCCACTGCAAGGCTTCAAGGGGCTCACGAGCTACGACGGCAAGCTCTGCCTCTTTACGCTCCAGGCGACAGCCTACAGCCACGGGTGCCTCCCCAAGGTGCACACGTGCTTCAACCGCATCGATCTGCCCTTGTACCCGAGCCGCGGCCTCGTGAAAAGTGCGCTCTTTATGCTTCTCGGCGTCGAGTCGATGGCGTTCACGCTCGAGTAGTTTCATGTTGAGGGTTAAATATGCTGTGATTTTGTATATTTGTCATACTCTCTCAGCAATACTACGAGTTCGCTCGAGCCCACCCTGCTGGAGCCAGCGAATCTATCCTAATAACTAGAATGCAAATGGTTGTTGTCGTAGAGTACAGCCTGGGGAAAGATTCTTTATTGATCTTCGTACAGCTCAAGTAGTTGAAGCCCGGGGGGAAATATGGACGAAATCAGCACTGTGTTTTGTGCACATTGGCGATGTAACAGTATACACGCAGGAGGCGCCTCACACGATTTGGGTGCGATAGTCTATCCGAAAATAGTGTACCACGACTTAGCGAACACCACTGATTTCGTATGCACTTGATTAGGTTCGCTTTGACCCTGGTGGGGACCTACTGAAAAGAGAAATATGAAACAAAGTATACAAAAGCACTTGCGGATGCTTCGGTTGGTTGGAGGACCCCTGAAATCCACCAAATCGATCCTCCAGTACTGCGCCATGACGACGACGAGCTTGCCGCTGCTCCAGGATCTCAGCGCGCTTCTTCCGCGCGACGTAGCCGGTGTGCAAGACGCTTCGCTTCTGCTCGAGACGCTCGAAGACAGCGCCCGTCAGTGCCAAGCGCCAGCCTTCCGCGATGCCTTTGCCGCATCAGGGCTCGCTGACATCTTTCCAACGTTTCTCGCCTCGGTCGCCAAGGACCTTGCCTCACATGCGCCAGCCGCGCCGGTGGTATCACGCAATACGATCAAGACATAAGATGCGGACGGCCTTGCCTAGGCGGAAGGCGACGAGGAAGACGATGGATTTGGGTACTCGTACACGGCGACCAAGTCGGGCAACGGCGAGATCGAGCCGCGCGCAGCCGCAACCTTTGCCGATACTGCAAGCGCCGAGCGCGCAATTTACCTCTTCCTCTCGTCCTATCGTTTCCTTCGCAACGTGTGCGTCCAGAACGAAGCCAACCAGACACTCCTCCAGCCGCTCTTGCCACTGGTACGACAAACTGCATTGCACATGCTGCGTCGAGCGTCCGACGTAGACCTTGCTGCAACTGGAAGCACATGTGCATTGGATGCACACGGACGACGATGTCATGAAGGAGCTACTCGTGCTCTCGTCGCAGGTCATGGTGCAATTCGTCGGGAACGTCGTCGTCAACCACGAAGAGAACCAGCGCGTGCTGTGGCCACTGCTCCAGCCCAAGCTCCTCGAGATGCTGCTGGTCGAGTGCCAAGTGCATCGAAAGTTGCTCGGGTTTGCGACTGCGGCGCTCTGCAACTGTTTGCACTCGCCGACCGACGGTGCCGCCCGCGCCAACGAGCTCGTGCGATCAGAACAACGCGATACATCGTTCGGCTACCTTGGCTCTATGTAGGCAGCGCACCGCCGACCGCTGCTCATCTTGCTGCTCCAGCGTTGCTTGACGCATGGCAGCGATGTAACTAGGCTTCTTTGCGAACCGCCCGTGACATTTCGTTACCTGTTAGGAGGACGAAGATCGAGTGGACGCCGCGTTCGAGTGGATCGTGTTGCTCTTCCAACAGCTCTTCCAGCGTCAGCACACGAGTGCCATGTATCGCAGTCTAAGCGTATCTCTCTTGAGGTACGACATGCGGCGATTGGTGCTAGCTCATGTGACCGCAGCACGCTGTGGTCTCGGCTCACGCCGGAGCAGATTCTGCTTCTGCGCATGCTCGACATGTGTCTTGCGACGGACGATGAGCGAGCGACCAAGGCCCAAGTGCATGCGACGGACGACGCATCGCTCTTTCCTTTCATCCTCACCGAGTTTGTCGCCCTCCACGCAACCAAGGACGCTGGCGAGGATGAAGCGCCGCCGTCCGCTGACCGCGAGGCCATGTGGCGCGTCATGGAGATCGAAGCGTCCAAGCTCATGCTGCACATTCTCGGGACGCTGACGACGACGCTGCCGCCGACGGCGCTGACCGACGCTGCGGTGCAAGCAGACGTTCTTGCTTTCGTGCCCGCACTCGTGCACCAAATGCACCGCGCGGCTGCGGCCCGTCCCGTGGACGGGAAACTGACCAACAAGCCGACCGACGACGACGGGTACGCTTTTGGTGTTCACGTTATTAATTTGTTGTATGCTTGCTCTGAATTAGAGACGTGGACTACTACTATGGGTACAAGTCGGCGGGTGTGCGCGTGCTCGGCAACCTCGTGCACCGCAACCCTGCTGTCCAAGATCTCATGCGGTCGTGCGGCGGCATTGAAGTGCTCTTGAACAGGTTTGCATGTGCATACACCATGGTGTGCGATCGACATCTCGAATCCCTTAGCTGCAACATTGACGAGACCAACCCAATGATTCGCGAGTGGGCACTGGTGGCGCTGCGCCACGTCTGCGAAGGTGTGTCGAGAATGGGATATTCTATATCGTCATATTACGCTGTAGGGTGCGAGGCCAACCAAGATTATATCAAGGCGCTTGCGCCGCAGGGTGTCCAATCTAACGTCGACTTGACTCAAATGGGCGCCAAGGCCGTCATGACCGACGATAAGGTCACCATCCAGCCCTTGTAGTAGAGTCCATGATTAAGAACGCCTGACTACTTTGGTAAATAAAAACAGGGTATGCATCGATGGGTTATGTCTGCATCTGCTTGGCGTGCAAGGTGCAAAACCCTCGGCGCTGGGCCCATTTCTCACAGGTTGCGACCGAGCATTTGGCTCCACCCCCGTGCGCTCGGCAGCGACCGTTCGAGGTCACAACTTTCGTGCAGCCGTCGGCGTGGCAACGCATGCCACCGCCATGGGTTTTGCAGAGACCCTTGGACTGCGCTCGCTTCTGGCAGCCCTCCACTGTACAGTTGGTAAATCCACCGTGATTGGAGCACTTGGCACCGACTTGAGGCACTTTGGTGCAGCCAGGCTCGTTGCACGATCGACGCCCCCCGTGCGCTGTGCAATGGCCTTTGACCCGAGCCGTTTTGCCGCAGCCCGGGTGCGAGCAGAGCTTTCGAGGTCGGGTTGACGCCTTCGCCTCCACCGACGACGTCCACTGCATGTGGAGCTCGTCCGGTGTCTTTTCAAAGTCAAGGAGCATCGAGAGATCAGTCGTATCATCCGTGAGCAAGTCCAAGAGCGATGCCTCCGAGATGTCGGGCAGCTGATCGGCGTCGGACGCCACCAGGAGGGCCGAGGCCAGGACGTCGGCCATGTCCACCGAGTCGAGCGCGTCACCCCAGTAGAGGCTCACGTCCCCATCGGAAATCGTCTGTGCCATCCTTTTGCAATTTCACAACTGCGATACCGAGCACCGGCCATTTTTATTAGCCTCGTCAAATCGAAATTCCTAAATGTTTTTTTGCACGTCTATCGAATCATAATACAAACAGCAAGTGTATATTTAGATAATTAAATTTTAGAATTATATTTCAGCGCAAGGAAATATTCGCATTCCGATCGGAATTCCGTTCTCATATTCGTGCCGCAGCAGAATATCGTAGTGCTTGCGTTCGAGGTAGCAGATGCAACACGTATCTTCTACTTCAATGAAGGACGCTAGTGGCCTCAATAACCCAAGCGTCGGTCGAGGCACCGCATCGCCGGGGCTAGGGTTATCTACATTTGTTGTTTCGGAAGGACTTCGTCATTTGCCCGGTTACCTCACTGGGTCCAGGGATGCATAAGTGCACTGAGTGAATCCCCAAAAGACGACTGTCAAGTACTGTACATCTTGCACATCGTCGGATGCCCAGACTTGGTAGGGTGGCCTACTAGTACGGACGACTAAAAACTACAGCACCTATCTCTGCTGTAGGACCAAGCCGGTGAAGCTCGCGGTGGTCTTGTGTTGCACGCATACAACATTAATATACGAGGGCGGCAATGTTGCAGGAATGCAAGACACACGTAGTTAGTAGATTTAGAGAGAAAAAACTTAGCCATGTTCGCCTAGCCCTGGAAAAGGTCGGCGCTGAACGAGTTGTAGTCCAAGACCTCGCGGGCTTCAACGTCTTCGTCTTCTTGCTTCTCGAAGAGGTGCGGCATGTGCTCGATGAGGTACTCGGCGATCGCAGGCTCGAAGTGCGTCGTGAGCTTCTCGCGCGAAATGGTCTTGTCCTTGGCAAGCATCTCAAAGGCCGCCAAGACGTCCGACTGCGTCGTGCCCGACTGCAACTGCTCGGCGCAGAAGGTCGAGAACTCGTGGAGAGAGATGTCCTCGCTCTTGTCCGTATCGAGCTCGTCAAACATGTTGTGGCACTCGTCCTCCGTCATGTCGTACCCGAGCGCCTTGCACGCCGTGATGAACTCGTCGCGCGCAAGCTGGCCGTCCTTATCGACGTCAAAGTGGTTGAAGACCTCCTCGACTTCTTGGAGCTGCGCCGGCGTAATGTGGCCAAGACGGTCCATCGCGATCTCCTTCTCAAGCGCGTGAAGGCGCTCCATCAAGCCCGACTGCACACCCGTGAAGAGTGCGCGGCAACTCTGGATCGTCTCGGACGTGTGCGGGTTGGAGAAGACGCGAAGCGCCTCGAGTTGGTCGCTCACTGCTTCGAGCTGCTCCATAAGTCCCATGAGCGTATCGGGCGACGACGCGTGCATCTCTTCGCCGTCAATGCGCTGGAGGTTGGCGAGCTGGTCGGCCAGCGAGCCTTCCGTCGCGTTGATCTGAATCAACAGCGTAAATATGCAGTGTACAAACAGCCGATCGAATTACCTGCGACGTCGTGTGCGCCGCCTTGTCGACGACGTGAGTCGCAAGCGCCGCGAACGACAAGCTAAGCGTCACGCGCTTTTGCGCGTTTTCGACAGCCTGCGAGAGCTCGGCCTGCTTGGCATCGCGCTTGGCGACGAGCGCGTGCACCTTCTTCTGGAACGAATCAAGCGTCGCGAGGTCCGTCTCTCGGTTGGCCTGCGTCAAGATCTCGCGCTTCGATGCAATGTCCTGTTTCATCATCATGAGATTCCGTACGTGGGTCTGTTTGGAGCACGCACCGCCTCAAACTTGGTGACAACATCGGCGTCGACACGGGGAAAGATGTTAGCTTCAAATTCGGCCTTCATGGCAGCAAGCGCGTCCTCGGTGCCGTCGCCAACAACATGGATGTTCTGGTCATCGATGAGCTCGTCGACCTCCTCCAAGTGGTTCTTGAGCGTCTTCATGCTCGCGCTACACCCAGAGTTGGTACAATCGCAATAGACGCATGAGCAGGCTACCGCATCTCCTTGGCCACAGCGTCAACTTCGCGTTGAAAGACGAGCGCGCTGCCGACCGTCTCCTTGGTGGCCGCCATGCTCTCGAGCGTGGCGTTGAAGCGGGTCTCCGCCGCCGTGATGCGATCCGTCGTGGACGCTGACGTGAGCGCTTCGCTCAAGTGCGCTTCGGCCGCCGCCTGCACCTTCTCGAGCACGTGGCGGTAGCGAGGGATCTCGACGTCTTCAAAGAAGCGGAGGCTCTCGTCCATTTCCTCTACAAAGTCGCGGGTACGTTAGTCAGAGAGTTGCTCGAGGTAGACGCACCAGCCTGGACCGAGCTGTGGACGGCAAGCGTCTCGTCGTTGAATTCGGCGGCGACCTTGTCCAGCCACGTCTCAAGCTTGACCAAGTCAGAGAGCACCGTGTTCATGATCGCGTCTAATTTCGATGAGTTGACGATTCATGCACAAAGCATCTTACCGTTCTGCTGGCAGTGAAAGACGTGCGCGCGGAGAGCCGTCTCGTACGCGACTTCGTTTTCTATATGACGCACTGAGTCTTATAGCACGCAAAATGCGTTAGGTACCTTGCATCGTCTTGCGAAGAGCGGCGATCGCGTCGAACGACGGCGACATCGTCGGCTCTGGGCGATGGTTGTTCTTGCAAGCAGCAATCCAACGGCCCGCGCAGCCTACACGTCGTTCTTACGTGACCGTCGATAGCGTTCACATGTTACCTTCAAGCTGGACAAAGGCCGCTTCGTACGTAGGGCGCTCCGTGCGCTTGTACTCGTTGAACTGCGTGAGCGCTTGTTGCACTGCACAGAAACGTTGAACATGCGGTGAATCGTGAATGCGTATGTACCAGTAGCAAGCGGCGCCGAGGCTTCCGGGGCGGTCCACGCGCTCAACTTGGTCGTGTACCATTCCAAAAGCTGAGGCGCCGAGGTCTCGTAGTGGCCCTTGAGCTCGTTGATGCGCTGCGACATGCCCACAGCCTTGCAGATCGTCGTGATAGCCTTCTTCTTTTGCATATCCGAGGCAAATTCCTAGAGAAAGCTAAGTGCGTGTTGGCATGTATGGTTGTTGTCGTACCTGGAAGAGCAGCGAGACATACGTCAAGATCGACTTGTCATCGGGCTTCGGGTTGCCGGCAACGTCGGCGACGTTGAGGAGCTGCGGGATGCCAAACTTGGTCTCGGCAAGCGTGAACGCTAGATACCGTGATGAGGCAAGTAGCGGTAAGAATTGTCAACGTACCAAGCGAAACGTTGTGCTCGGCGTTCTCGGGCGAGAGCGACTCAAAGTCGAGCAAGTTGGGGTAGTGCTTGTGAATCAACGCGCAGAACGCGAGACCGTTCGTCCAACTCGACGTGAAGTTGGTCACGTCCACCGTCGGGTAGTCCGCAAGTGACCGCTTGCACCAGAGGAGAAGACCTGCGCGCAATCCGTATTAGCTCAATCTGCAGCTCATTTCCAAAGGCCGTACCATCCTTGCCCGAGACGCCATCAACGGCGATGTCGCTGACTTGGTAGGCCTTGATGATCGTCCAGAGCAGCCTACGTACGTAGCACGTCAGCAAACGTCTTGTCTCAACCTCAAAGCATACCCGAGCACAAGCTTGCTGTTGCCGTCGACAATGTCCGACGAGCCAATGTTGGTGACCGTGACGCCGTTGCGGGCCATGAAGTTGAACGCGAGGTTGAGGTTCTCCAGCTTTTGGATCCGCATCTTCGGGTTCTTGTTGTACTTCTACAGACAGATGCGAGGGCTGAGATCTTATTCGGGGACGGGCCATGTACCGGCGCGACTTGCTGGCGGCTCACGATCTGCAGGAGCGCAATAAGGCGCAGACCGTCCTTGAGGTCTTCGTAGACGTCCTTGATGTCCATGCGCTTCTTGGAGAGGTGCGTGTTGGCCCACTAGCAGCAGCATGAAGATGAGCGTGCTCGTCCAGGTCATGGAGGGGAGGAAGATCGTACGCGCGTGAAGGTGTTCTTCTGGACGTCGACCCATCCTTCGTTGTGGTTGCCCCCCGCCATGCTGTTCAAGCTTCCTCGGCCGTAGGTTGATCGAAAATGGCCCTCGGCTTGCATTTGCCTTCGAAAGGTGCAATTTCTATTTGTTTTCTCGTCGGTGGAAACTTTTTTAAATTTGTCGCCCGTCCCGAATAAAAATACCTCGCCTCCGCTCCGGGTTACATACATTTGTCATGATGTGTCACGAAACGTACCCATGGGAACACCAACGAATTTTAATGTCACGCGCGAATAAAAAACAGACGGCTTTTTTTCAGCGCGGTCACGGCCAGACGTGAGTAACACGCCGGCGCCACCGACGCGGCCACCGACGCCGCCGCAAAGCCGTCTCGGCGCTCGACCTCTTGTCTCTCGCCGGCTGTGATACAGCTTGATACCAAAATAGGTAGTGTCTACACTGTACGACGCACTCTCCCGCACTGGCCCTGGCACCGGCCCCTCGCCGACGACGACCAGCGCATGCGAGTTGGGTCGGTTGCGGTAAAGACGAGAAGAGATCAACGACCGAAGATGCACCTGCCTCTGCGAATGGCTCTCTGCTTGTCTTCGCGTCGTCCCATAAGATCGGATTGCACCCAACATGATCAAGATCGCATGGAGCCAAGACGCATGCGCACGGCGGCATGGTGGCGATTGATCCACGGAAGGCCGATATCGAAGAGGCAGAGATCGTAGGTTGTCAGTGCAGGCGACAGCAGTGTCGTACAGTGCAGAGATCAAGGTTGCGAGGTTGCGAACTTGAGGCACGAACGTTGCGACCGTTTGGTGGCTGGATCGTCAACAACAATGCGGCGTTGGTCGATTGCAGAGACCGTCGTGCAGAGGTGCGGTGTGGATATGTGCGTGACGTCGTACAGGGCGCCGAGATTCGTTGATCAGAGCGTAATGCCGCCTCAAGCTTGCATACGAGTGTCGAGTAAATGTCGATAACACTGACTCGGATAGAAACTGCGGGTTTTCTCGTGATCCACAGCTCTTTATTGCAGACAGATGAGAGGAAGGAGTTGTCGACGACATGCGTGCACAGAATGAGAAACAACAAAGACGACGTTGGTGCCGTTTCCAACAAGGGGAAGAGGTTTTCCGCGCAAGGCCGAGCGTTCCAGAGATATGGTAGCACGCACACGTTACAAGATCCAGGCGAGAGCAAGCGAGCTCGAGCCATCCACGAATTAATAGTATCAGTCAAAAGCTAACCCGCCTCGCCCAGAACTGGCACGGCGGACACCGACACAGTAGTTCGGTCTTGTCAGAGGAAATTCCATGTCTGGAGTTGCCCGACCTTGCAACAACGAGATTGGTTGGGATCGCTTGTGAGGCAGCCCACGACTCGCATGAGTACAATGCAGTCCTCAGACGACACCTGGCACTCGGCGCTTCGTTCCAACGTTGTTGCTGCTTGGCGTCGTTGAAGCGAGTGTACACATACCGGTACTCTTACCACGTACTATATGCATGCGTACGAGCTCAGTGCGGATTGTCGTGAGCAGGGTGCTGTCTTTGACGAGGCTTTGTTGCACCGTGGCTGCAGCAACAGCATCACCTTTGTGCTGGCAGACCGATGCGTCAACCTTCACACCGGCCGAAATCGGCACTTTCCGAATTTGATGAGCGATATTCGGATTAACCTGAAAAAGCGTGGTTGAGGGCGTGGCCCAATCAGGTTTTGACGTTAGGGAGGGGTTTATTCACATTGCACGTTTCTGGCCAAGTCAGCATGAGCAGACGGACGACCGCGGTCGACGAAGGATGGGTCGAGGTGCAGAAGCACACGTTCACACGGGTACGACCTAGCGCCATGGCACTGCCATCTCAGCTCTTGTGCGACTAGTGGGCGAACGTCTTCCTGCCACCCGACATGGCCGTCGACGACTTGTACGAGGACCTCAAGGACGGTCTGCGCCTCATTGCGCTACTAGAGCGCATCAGCCAGAAACCTGTTTGCGTGGTGCTGTATTTACACTACTCGTGTCTTGGTGAGTCATTTGCTGTTCGTAGAAGTACAACAAGGTCGTCAAGTACCGGATCCACATGCTCGAGAATCTCAACCACGTCGTGGGCTTTATGGCCAAGGAGAATGTGACCGTGACCAACATCGGCTCCTCCGACATTGTCGACGGCAACTCGAAGCTCGTGCTTGGGTTTGTGGTTTCTCTCCAACCATAGTATGCCAATGTACGCTCGATAGGCTTATGTGGACCATCATCAAGCACTACCAGCTTGCAGACATTAGTTTCCATGGCGTCACGGGCAAGGAAGGTCTCTTGCTCTGGTGCAAGGACTGTCTCGACGCGTTCCCAGACATTGTCCGCGTCACCAACTTCACGTCGAGTTGGCGCAACGGCCTCGCATTCTGCGCACTCATCTCGGCGTTCCACCCGGCGCTCATCCCGATCGAGACGATGTCGCCAGCGAACGCTGCCGAAAACCTCGCACTGGCCTTCCACGTGCTCGAGCAGACTTTTGACGTGCCGCAGCTGCTGCAAGTCGAGGACTTTGAAGTCGGTGTCGATGAAAAGTCGGTGCTCACGTACCTCGCGCTCGTCTTCCGCGTCTTTGGCGTGCTCACGCGCCCGGCCATCGTCCGCACACCATCGTTCCACGAGCCCGACGAAGTCGAAGAGGATGTTCCCACCGACAACGAACTTTTGAACGACGACGACGAGGTCTCGATTCCGGACAATGGGACGAGCGACGAAGCGGCGAGCGACGAAGTCATGAGCGACGAAGTCATGAGCGACGAAGCGGCCAGTGACGACGTTCAGCCTGAAGTTGAAGCCGCTGTGGCCGAGACAAATCCCACGCATGTCGACGTCCCCAAGGAAGGCGTGTACGAGAAGATGAAGGAGTCGCTAGCGATCGCCCCGCGGCCTTTGGTGCACCACTTTTGGTTTCTGCACCGCGCTACGCCGGGTGCGCTGGTCGTGCTTTGCTTGCTGCCACGCTTGCTTCTCCTCCGTGCCTGCGTTGCGCTCTACGTGCCAGTGTACAAGTCTCCTGCACGCACGCATCGGCCTCCGTTCGCTGCGTCCGCGTGAGCGGAGCTTGTATTTGTGCACATGATAGTAGTAACTTGTAACTTACGCCCATGCTAATGGACACTTGGGAAAGAAGTCGATGATCTTGCAGCGGTGCAATGTTGTACTGTAGTTGCATGATGGACACTTAATGGTGGACTCTACTTGTTCTTGCGCTTGCTCGTCTTGTCCTTCTTGCTCTTCTTCTGCATCGGCTCGCCCGTGAGCGCCGACGTGATCGTATCGTTCCACGACTCCCACTGGCTCGCCATCGCCGAAGCCGGCTCGGCCCACGGACGCTGGAGCTTGCCCCACGCGCGCTCACCACGGAGCAAGACGCGGACCTAGCATTTAATTAGCCCGTGACAAGTCGTACAACTGCCTACAATGGGCGTGCTGTACAAGCCGTGCGGGCCGCTGAAGATGCCAATGACAAGCGGCGGGATGAACTCCCACTTGACGTGCAGGAAGCTCGCGACGGCGAGACCCAAGACGATCTTCTGCATTTCCTTCAAGGCCACGCGCTGGTCATGGAGGCCGACCGTGATCTTTTCGGTCTTTTCGCCCTCCATGCCAAAGCCAAGGTCTTCCTTGACGACGACCACGGCCGGATCCGGGTTGTTCTACGGTATCGTGAGTCGCGAGGCCGCTGGAGAGAGGCTGAGCGTACGCGCGCCTGGAGGTAGAGGTAGAAGAGGGTAAGGACGCAGCCAAGCTGGGCGATCGCATAGAGCCCGCGCACGAGCCAGAGGTGCACTATAGGCGACGATGAGCACCGAGAGGAGGGCGCAGGACGTACCCATGTTCTCCGGGTCGACGACTGTCTTGGAGACGAGGACGAGGCCCAGCGTGATGAAGACAGGCGGGATGCTGCGCAGCGTGTCGAGCGTCGGGAGCTTCATCGTTGGGCGAAGGAAGAATGGGAGGAAGAGTGCGTTTGACGAGTACGGATACGCGCGTGTCGTATCCGAAAACCTCCACGTCATTCACAATGAGGATAAAAAAACGCCACGGCATCTCTGAACACAAGTGTATGACGTGGCAGCGCCAGCGAGCTTCGTCGTCGAAGGACGCATCCAAACGAGAAAGCATTGGTCATCAGGGCCATGGATACACACAAGCCAACAATAGTAGTATTGAGTCGAATGCCAGCCCCAGTACAACGGTAGCTGCCCGCGACCAGCAGCCTCCTTGCTGTCTCCGTCGCACGAACTGTACCAAGTTCCACGCAACCATCCTCGCCGCTCAATGTTTGGGAAGGCATACTTGCCATGGATCGAGCGACGAAAACCTACCCCGTCGAATGGCACCTTTGTATCATTCCCTTGGTCGAAACACTCGATGGTTGCTCAGATGTTTCATGTTATACGTAAAATGGAGTGGGGCATCTAGTGTAGTATGGTCTGTGGGCAACACAGTACGTCAGCATCACGACTGTAGTGCTGTCTGTGTCCATAGTGCTAGCTGTAGCAAACTCACAATAGGTTACCGCTATACTGGTTGGTACACGTACTAACTAGAACAAGCACGGGCGGCGTCGGACAGGCAAGGAGCCGGGTGGGCCAGAATGAGCCTAAGGGCACGCAAGATCACCAAGAAATGATATATATTAGTGAATAATATTGCGCAGGGATTCGTCGTTTCATGAAATGCAAATCTTCACATGGTTGAATCTGTTTTGATGGTCTCCTATTCGACGAAAACACTACTAGTTCATAAATTCGAGCACAGTGCACGCGAGTACCGCTCCCCAAGTGCTCACCACCAAAACATCGTATTCCTCTACCAAGACCGAGCTACTTGGAGGCAACAACCGTTGGTGTCCACCATGCCAGAGGTGGGCGAGGCGCCCCCCAGAAATGACGTCATGCGGTTGGGGCCAATCGAGTTGTGAGCGGTGAGAGGTTGTTCGCTTGATGCTGGTGTGTTTCGTGAGTGCGTCTGGTGACTTCTAGCCGAGACGGCGAGGTCTGGCATGCTGCCACGACATAAGGCCGTAGCACCGCCGTTTCGGAGCTCGTGCGTCGAGTAGTTGCTTGGGTCTTTTTGGCACGCAGCAGCCACGTTCTTGATCTCGCGCGATGCTGCTTCGCATTGTAGCATCTCAGTTGCTGAAACGTCACACAACTTGGTGCTGAGCGAGATGTTGTTGTGGTGTGGGTGATGGCTCGATCCGTAGATGCACGTCTCGACATGTACAGTTGGTCTTGGGGCCTTGGATGTGGATACGGAGCTCCCTAGCCTTGATGTCTTCTGGGTGCTTGAGCGTTTGTTTGATCCTTGTCGTCAAGAGACTTCGCGTCGTCGATTTCGAATGCACATGACTCGGGAGCTTGGGATGATGAGGGTCGAGGCATTGTCGTGAAGTGGTCGTCGCCGTGGACGCAATGTGCGGGGTTCCGGGTATATTTGACTCTGTTTATCTTCGCACAGCATACTGCCTATACTGCGTTTCTATTCCCTACAGCCTACAGTTGTACTGGGGCACGCCACGACCGTCGTTGGGATGTGCAGACCACATCACCACAGCATGCTCGCTCCTCAGCGAATGAGAGAGGCCGCTTATGCCGGGTGACGAAGCGTGCACATCCAGCCGAACGAGATCCGACTGCAAAGCTCGGGATGGCGAACATTGAACTCGAGATGCG